GGAAGCAGACCAAGAGCCAAAAAATGTGGGCAGATTCTAGAAGCTGAAAGGGACAGAAAACAATCTCCACAAAAGAACACAAAGGAACACAGCCCTACTGACATTTCATTTCAGTGAAAATCCTTTTGAACCACTGACCTCCAGAACTAAAAGAGAACATAGTTGTGTGGTTTCTAGCAATTAAGTTTGTTGTTACTGGTTTTAGCAGGAAAAAAAAAAAAAAAAACAACTTAACAAGCTATACATGGGCATGGCCTCACTGAGCCTAAAGATACCTGACGCAAAAATCAACAGGATTAAAGTGAAAGAGAAATGTTCCCAATCATGGAGGAGGGTTTTAACACCTCTCACTCTGCTCTCTGTGATAAAACAGCTATATAAATAAAGTCAGTAAAGACAGAAGATTCAAACAACACTGTCACCTACCTCTATCTAATTGATATTTCTAGAACACAGCAATCTATAACTGCAGAATACACATGCTTCTTAAACACACTGTGTAGTCACTGAGATAGATCATTTGCGGTGACATGTATCTCAATAAATAAAAAAGAATTTAAAAAATCACACAACGGAGTATTTTTAAACAGAACTAAATGATATTAGTAATGAATAACAGCAAAATATCTAGGAAAACATTAAATATCTGGAGATTAAATCCTTACAAATAAATATGGACCAAAGAGGAAATCACGAGAAAAAATTAGAAAATATTTTCAACTATTTGAATGACAACAAAAATACAACATATCATAATTTGGGGGGGGTGCTGAAATATTATTTAGTGGGAAGTTTAGAGTTTTATATGGTTATATTAGAAAATAAGATATATCTAAAGTAATAACCTAATATTTCACTTCAAGAATTTATAACCAAAGTTTAAAGTAAGTCCAAAATATATAGAATGGAAATAATGAAAATAAAATGGAAACCAACAAATTAGAAAATAGATTTATAGATAAAGAATGTAAATTAACAAAACCCAAAGGTAGTATTTTGTAAATATCAACAGTATTGGCAAATCCTTGGTTAGAAAGAGGAAAGTCTTTGCAAAAATAGTGCTGAATTATTTTGATAGATGTATGAAAAAATAATATGTATTGACTCCATAAAAATGAATCCAAAACAGATCACAGATTTAATGCAAAATCTAAATCAACAAAACATTAAATGAAAGCCTAGGGGGCGCTTGGGTGGCTCAGTTGGTTAAGCATCTGCCTTAGGCTCAGGTTATGATCCCTGGGGGTCCTGGGATCCAGTCTTGCATCAGGCTCCCTGCTCAGTAGGAAATCTGCTTCCCCTCTCCCTCTGTCCCTCCCACTGCCTGTGCTCTCTCTGTCAAACAAATTAAAAAACAATCTTTAAAAATAAAATCTTTAAAAATAAAATAAAATAAAAAAGAAAGTCTAGACGTAAATCTTTGTGGCCTTTGTTTAGATGATGACTGCTTAGAAGGAACGTGAACAACATCACATATGAGTTCAATTTGATAAGCTGGACTTGAGCAAAATTTAAATCTTTTGCTCTTCTAAGAATCATATTTATTCTAGAAAAAAAGAACCATGTCCACACAATGTTCAAAAATGTACACAAAAGTGTTTTGTAGTAGCCCTAAACTGAAAATAACCAAATGCTCATCAACAGGTGAATAAACAAAGTCTGTTCTGCCCATACAATGCAAAGACAAGAACACATTATAAATTTTTGATTCATATTCAACATATCAACGCATGCTGACTGAAAGTGCTTAGCAAAAAATTAAAATTAATGTATGATTCTGTTTATAAAGTTCTGGAAGTGCAACTAAATTATAGTGCCAGAAAGCAGACTAACATTTGCTTGGGAGGGAGAGTAAATGAATAAATACATTACAAAGGAGCTTTAGAAAATTCATGGAGGTGATGTAAATGTTTGTTTAGATGATGTAACAGATTTGCAGGCACAACCATATGTCAAAACTGATCACATTTTGCCCTTCATAAATCGGCATTGTACTGTGGTCCAAATATATTTCAATAAAGTTGTCAACAGGGGATATTTATTGTTCTAATTATGTTTACTAAAGAATGAAATTAAGTATTTAATATCTTAAAAAAAAGGAAAAATTGATCACGTGCTCTGAAAGCTATCAATAAAATAAAAACAAAAATTAATTTTAAACAATGGTTTAATAGTTAAAAAAACTATGTTATGATTTTTGAAATAGTTTTATCTAACCAGCTTCTAATCAACAAGAAACAACAATCTCAAGGACTGTTCAAAGAATTCTCAAAACATTCTTTTGCAAAGCAAGTTTTTAAAAAATCCTTCCTAAATAAGAGGTACTATTTGCTCATGAGCTTTATTCTAAACATTTACTTCAGAAAATTAAACAGGCTGACCAATGTTTAAACCTTTAAAGCAAAGGAGGAATACCTCTGCGATCAAAAGCAACTTGTACCTCATAGTATCAATCCTTGAAAAACAGAGTGCCCTAGTACTTTTTTTTGTATTAAAGTATTTATTTTATTAAAAGATCACAAGAACATGCACTCTGTACTGATATATACAATCATGTGTTTACCCCATTATTTTCTATCTAGTTGAAAACACTAATAACTACAAATTTCACATCATTTTATATCAGCATTTCACATTATCTTGATATTTTCCTCCATCCATCACTTCAAAATTTGAATTCAAGTTGAGGTTTGATTTAAATCTCTGTCAATCCCAGTGTTCTAGTAAAGCATGAGCTCTGTTTTATTTATTTTGTGTCCACAGTCACTCAGTACTGATTCTAGATCTTAAACAGATCAATGAAAACACCCTAAGTTTGATCTAGTATGGTTTTTTAAAATTCTTTTCAATGAGGTTTTAAAACATAGACACAGAAATTATAGACCTTAATTTAACTTTTTTATTTATTTCATAATTAAAACTTAGGTAGGCATGCATGGAGGGTAATTCAGAAGTTCTAGGACACTTTTGAAGGATGTGGCTATGTACTTTTAAATGGTTAGTTATTATGAAACCCCTAAGAATTTCTTCCTTCAACCCTCCTAATTTACATATATGGAAACTGAGGTCCCAGGGATGCAGGTCACACAACTAATTAACATCAATCCTAGCACTGGTACAGCTACCCAATATTGCCTATATGACCCAGTAAGCCTCACTGGGTTTTGGAAACATCGACAGTGCTCATTTCTCCCGAGCTCCACGTTTCTGAGTACCTACAGCAGTGATTTAGTAATAATTCTATGATATGTCAAATAAGCTTTTAAATATTTACAAAATGCAAAGGAAAAAAAAAACTAAATTAAGTTTTATTAAGAGAGGGGCACCTGGGTGGCTCAGTGGGTTAAAGCCTCTGCCTTCAGCTCAGCTCATGATCCCAGGGTCCTGGGAAAGAGCCCCACATCGGGCTCTCTGCTCAGCAGGGAGCCTGTTTCCCCAGGTCTCTCTCTGCCTGCCTCTCTGCCTACTTGTGATCTCTGTCTGTCAAATAAATAAATAAAATCTTAAAAAAATAAATAAGTAAAAATTTTTAAAAAAAAGTTTTATTAAGAGAATATGATTCCTACCACTTTTTTAGCACAGTGAGAAGAGGCTGGGAGTAGTCTATGAACTTGCCCTCCAAACAGGTTGGACAGCTCTAATATAAATCATGTTTTGGCACCCTTAAATTTGTGCTCAAGTAGATTCACATTAAAGAAAAAGAAAAAAATAATAAAGTAAATTTTGGATTCAAATACATATTTTGAATTACAAAATCTAAACAAATGTGTTGAAAGTTTGAGAAATAGTTCTAATTTGTTACAAGTGCTGATGATTTGAAAAAGAAATATATATATATTAATATGTAGCTTATTTATATATATGTATGTATAAAATAATGAGAAAATAGCAGAAAACACTATTAGGAAAAAAGCTAAATTAGTTATTAGCATCACTTCTTTCTCTATGTGTCCTGAATAACATGGCTTTTTCGTCTCTTTGATTTTTTTAAGAAATACGATGGCAATTAAACAACTTTCTTGGAGATTCTCTAACTTTAGCAAACGAAACCTGTGCTTTGTGAAATAATTATTTAATATCTTCCACAATTTTTTGCAATTGTATAAGTGGCCTTTCCATGAATTTCTTAATAAGAACACTTATGAATATGTAAAATAATATGGATTATTTGTGTCTGTTCTTGAGGAAATATTTGCTTTCTAGAGACATTCTCAAAAAGAAAATAATCTTATATCACAGTGATCACCACCTTCTATCAATATTAACGTACTAGAAATTCTCCAATAGGAATGTTTTGTCGATCAGAGTATCTTGTACACTCCCACTATGACAGTTATGTCCTCTTGAACATCAGAGAATCTCCAACATTGATGATTCCTGAATATTTATTGAAAATAATATTAAATTTCTTCCCTCTTATGAACATATATATGACATAAAATCCCACTCAATGATATCAGGTGGATTGTGCATTTACATCAGCCCTCATATTCTCCAAATCTCAGGTCATAATTCCCACTTACAGACAACAAGCATTATTCTGATAAAATATGAATGTTGATCTATTCAATCATTGTAAAAACACTACTTCATATCTTATGAGAATTAAAATAATTCAACAAAAAAACTACTCAGGTGAAACACAGGGCCATTAATATTATAAGTAAACAGATAAAACTCTAAGGAGATATTAACCAATAACTGATAACTAAAGCAATTCAATAATATACTGTGTTTGGCTTAAACACTGCAAAAAAGAAAATCACAATTTTCTGAATAAGCAGTATCAAAACCATTAAAATTTATAGCACTGTGAAATGTCCTATAACATCCACTAGATGTCTCTAATAACTGACTTTGAATGGCCATGTTAGTTCTAGAGCTATCCGTCAAATACGGAATCATGAACTACAGAGGTATTTGGAGGATCTTACTAAAATTCGTATTTTTCAAAGCAGACAAAATTGTTTTAATAAACATACAAAAGGAAAATGACTTACATTCAATATCAAGGTACATGCTCTTTTGGTGCCCTCCAATCCTACTCGCAGCTTCACAGTCATATCTCCCTGAATCTGACAACTTCACATCTTTAATATGCAGTGACGAGCTTCCATGCTGCCCTTTGACTTCGATACGGCCGTCTGGGCTCTGTTTACATCGATTCAGGAAAAAGAAAGATTTTACGCTTGTTTTGTGTGAAATGATGACCAAACATAGGGTGTTTATCACATATATGATAAATGAAAATAACGTCTTACCTGCATTACTTTTTTTTTTTTTAAACAATGTTTCTGTATTTATGACTTAATGATTTTGGCTTTTCTGTTGTACCTGCCCATCTGCTTACAGGGACACTAACATGTAGTAAAAACTTCAACAGGTGTTTTATCAACCCCTTTTATTTAGTGCACTCTGTGCTTTTTAAAAAGCTGGCATGTTCTTCTAGAAAGGGCTTTGTTGGCTTCCAATTACGCTTCTTGCAAACATAACAGAACAACAATGCCTATTCAATTCTGGCTGAAACCCCCCAGTGAAAATGATATTCCTCCTTCACGTTAGTTTCCTGTTTCACCGTGTAAAGACAATGTATCAAGATGTATGAAAATTAAAGCCTTGAAGAAGAATTTATAGTTATTTTGGAATGAATGAAACAGCACTGCTCATAAGCCTATGTAGTACATTACTCATAACAGATAAATTATTAAAAACAGCACTATATAAGTCCTTCTTAGAAAGTCAATGGAAACAACATGAAAAAGATTAATCACCTGCTCCATGAATATTGATGCAAATCAAGGACTTGCTTATAATCCAATAGCCTATAGATTACATTTCAAATAAGAATTCTTGTGTGCAACCTAATTGGTATACCTACAATTATTTTCTTAAATCACTTAAATACCATTATAGCACACATATTAAGACAGAGATAGTTTACTTACTGAATTTTATTTTGTACAATCAGGGAATATAGTGAAATTTGCATTTTATAATTCACTTGTAACATGTACTTTACTATTATTGAATTGATTGTTTTCAGTATTTGAGGTTTTTGTGCCTCAATAAAACTGCATGGCACACATGGGTTTTGAAATATGTAAGTTATTATGTAATAATATAATGGTTGTTTAAGTTTCTATATAACTGAAATTCAAATAAATTTCAATACATGTACTTTGTATTATTAAAACGTGTTTATTTTCTTTTATTTATATCAACAGACTATTTTAAAGCTCTTTTTCAAACATGAATTTGATTGGGATGCACTATGATCACTGTTTTTTGCTTTCTAGTTTTATACAGGCATGCAGTTACTATACAACCAAATCAGTCACTCATAATTCATTTACTATCATTATCGTAAAAATGTTCTTCAAAAACAAAGAAACAAAAACATGCTGGGAATGTATTATGCAACCCCAATCAGGCCAAAAATATGTACCCCAATTCTCAAGTATTGCTAAAAAATAGTAAGGTGAGGCTTTCAAGCAGAAGGCATTCTCTGCTGGCAATATTTAAGATGTTCGTCTGCCAACCCAATTACTTACTTGAGAGGAAAGAAAAAAAATGCAGAAACTCACAGAAGTTAAAATTAGAATGAGTAAACTCAAAAGCAGAATGGCCAATTTGTTATACAAAGTAACTAACTACTTTCTGATATAAATGTGTTAGTAGTTCCTTACCTTATCGCACCTCTATCATTGGACCCTAGGGAACTACCCTTCCTTCCTTAAGCGCAGACTTCCCTTGGCTTTCAGGACACCCATACTCTCCTATTTTTTCTTCCAGTGTCTCTTTCCTGACTACTTTTTAGTCTGGGTTGCAGCTTCCTCTCTCCCTGGGGACCCCTGGTTTCTGTCATGGATGCAACCAATGCACTCTGCTTAAGACACCCTCATCCCCTCCCAAACTAGCAGCTGTGATCTCTAGTCACTCTTCCTCCAGGCAGGATCCCTCTCTCCTTGGAGAGCTATGGAACAAGAGATGTCTCTTTCAGGGCATGCCCATTTGATGTTTCTCAAACCAGCATGTAGAGATCCGAACATATCACTCCCTCACCCAGCATGACCGACTCTACTCCTGCGGTCTTCCCCTCCGTGAATGGTACAGATTCTTTCTCATGCCCCATGCTGGACTACATCTCCCGTTTGAATCAGTTTTTGAACATTTACCTGTTTATAATTTAAATGATGATAAATGTCAGTTTATCATCGTGTTCAAAATTATCATCTTCAACGTCTAGCAACTGTGTTTCCATGGACGTCTCTGCTCTCTGCTTCACATATTTGCAGTCTTAGTCATGCTGCTGAGTTCGAGGAACACTAAGGGGCATCTCTGGATTTCAGAAACAACAATCACATTCAGGGTGAATGTGACCGAAAAAGATTCCCTGACTCTGCAAAAGCCATCAGCATTATGTGATTCCCTATGTTTCTCTAGCAAAGTCCCACTGCAGATGCAGAAATTATTTCTTTGTGTAGCTAAGAATAAGTTTTTTTTAAAAAGCAAACTTTTAATTCTCATAACAATTTCATGAAGATTTCATATTCCCACCGCTCTATAATAATGACTAACATTGTATTGATTTCTGAATAACTTCCTTGCCTTTCTAAGACATCACTTTTCTGTCTGAGCACACTTTACAATTTGGATACTATTAATTTGACTTCCAATTAATCTGAATTACTGTCATTTCCATAAGTACCCTCCACAGCCCTGCCTCAACCTTTCCCCCTTGCCCCCTTCCATATTTACATGGCAGGATTCTCTCATCATTCCCTTAATTTCTTGGGAAAATATCAAATTATGTAAAAAAATTGACTATTGTATATAATTATTAAATGTACTACTTTGAAGTCTGTACTTTTCCTAGGACACACTATTTTTTCTAATCTTATTAGAACTTCAGAATTCATCCTGTAGGGTGATATTATAGTTGGACAAATGTGAGAACATTTTTATTTTTATGGTACTTTATGTTAAAGTCACCTGGACTAGTACCAAGGACAGAAACATTATATTCTAATATCTTTAAAGCAAATTAAGTTATAGTGAAATTTAGATGTAGTAAAGGAAAAGTATTCCTCCAGCTATTACTTACTATGAGTTAAAAACTTACATTTAGTATCTTTATTAATGGGATAAAATACCATTTTAATGATACAAAACAAATTTTTCATTTTTCTATTAGGAAAAATACCATTCTTTCACAGAATTGAAAGGCAAAATAGTCCTTTGAAAATAAATAGGTCTTCATGTTATTAACTATTATAAATGATATGGTATTTGACTTACAAAAATCTATTGGTGTCTATAAAATTAGTATGATATTAGTAAAGATGTTGGAATTGAAAAGTTATTTTCAATGTATCTGGAATTATTAATAGGAAGAACAGAATTTCTTTGGGAAGGTGTGTGATTCCCTGGGAAATCGTAAGTCATTTTCAGAATTGACACTGGCTCTATAATAATTATAACATTCATTTGTCTCAAATACTTACACTAGAAGCCCAAAGTCATTCCCTCTCATATCTGACATTTAAAGGACATCTTTCTCTTTGTGCTACAAAAAAGCATTACACATTTCTGAAAGAAAATTAATTTATATCTTGGCTTTGATTCACCACCTACTGAAGATTCATTTAAGACATCTGATATTTGATTGAGACAGGTTAATGGGCATATTAGCTGTCCATCTAGTATTTTCAGGTTCTATCAATGCATTAGGTAAGATGATTAGAAAGTAAAGTGCCTGACTATATACATTATTTCTCTAATCCTTTACAGAAAGGCACTTTTTGAAATTTGATTTAATGTTATATTTTTGCCTTTCCAGAAGGTCAGTTTAAGAACTGTTTATTTGAATAGTATTTCAATATTTTTATAAAATGGTTATTTATAGAGTTTATTGAAAAAAATGGTCATTTATAGAGTTTACTGTCTTTCCAAGAATCACTTGATGAAATACCTATATGATAACTACCTTCTGGAGTTTGGTTCCAACACAAATATTCTTTTGCCCCTTTTAATTGTGGGACATTTGAAATTATACAAGGTATCGTGTTTATAGGTTGTTTTTGTGACCTGACCTGACTAGACATTTACTGCCAAGTTTAGAACCCACTTGTAGGACATAACACATTTGAGGTGACAGTATTCACCATCTTTCTTCTTCATACTGTTGTCATTAACCTCTTTGGTCTTTTGGGAGATTGGTGAATCCTGTCACTTAGTTACCCAGTAATTGTTTTCTTGCGGAATTATTGTACAAGAAGCACCCAGGCACTGGGAATACATGTTGAGCAAATCTGAATAATTTTTACCCTTTGGTAAATAAAAGTTCAGGAGATAATAATTTATAAAAATAATACAAATATACTGACAAGTACCATGTAGGAATACCAAAGTTTTATCTTGGGGTTGAGTCAGTGGAGGGGTGGGGTAGAGTTAGAAGAATGTTTCCTGATAAACTGAGGTATGTATTATGACCTGAAAATCGTGAAAGAAGAGCAGATTTGTGAGAGAATTCCAAGCCTATCCCCCCAGAAGTCATATGAAGGAACTGAGAGAAACAGGCAGGCACAGAGAAGAAAGTCAGGGCACATGGGATCCCCTGATGTTGGATGGGCAAGCTGAGACAGCATGCCAAACCCTAGAAGAATCCAGACATACAGAAAACATGCACTCCTTTATTATACATTTTGGTTGCTTTTTTGTAATGGTGTTATATCTCTACTGACTGTAAATTAAATACAGCTTCAAATACTTAGTGGTAATGTCAAAGCATAACCACTAATTAAATAAACTTTCCAAAGGTTACTGGCATTAATTCACCCAAACTAACCTCTCAAAATTGTGTTAACATTGTGTTAAGTTGAATAATTTCTGCAAAGAATTTTAAAAGAAAGATTCTCTTCCTTCCTTATAAGATTCCTATACTTACTCTTACCATTAATTTCTCTTTGCTCTGAGCTTGCTCTCAGCTTCTTAATTTTCTTCCTATTTTGATTACCTAACCTGAACTTTTGTACAACTGCCTTCTTCTTAGCATTGCAAATTCATGTAAGGAAGAGTAATATGGACAATGTAACTTCTTAAGTTACATAATTTTTCCCTACATTCTAGTACCCTCTTCCTCTCTTTGTACA